GAGTCCTGCCGTAGGCAGGTTTCCAGTCCGGAGCTGAACAGCCCTGACGAAGACCCGGCCGGTCCAACCAGATCTACCCCGCAGCCAATCGCGACTGCTGGAATCCTCATTCGCCTTGGAAAGGCCTTTTGTGAACGGGTTCGAATGTAACTCTTCCCACCAGTTCCAGTAGTGATGAAGAAGACATTGTCAGGTTTCTGCGAGTGTTTCTGTGTAACCGGCGGATGGAAAAACCCATCGCAGATTATGGGTACATCCGTACATTGAATGAAATTCACACACTCGATCATTTGTTCCTGCACAATTTCTTTATTTCTGGCATTTTGTAGAATGTTAAAGGACTCGTATGTCTCACACGAAGTGTTCTTCTTTTCATCCCCCGATGCCACAGAAAAGAAACAACAATATCTTCGGCCCATTTTTAACTTAAAGATACGTCAAAAGATACGAGAAGGAGAAAAAAAAAGGAAGAAATACACAAATCGACCAAAGAAAAAATGAACCGTGTGCGGATGGCAGACGTGTCTGACGCATAGATCGCACGAACGAGCATCTTGTATAAGTAATTACAATCTGAATCGCGTCGACTACATCGCCGATCGACCCACGTACGGGACGGGTTTAGAAATCGAAGCGGCCCATATACCAAAGAACTGTCTATAATAGAAGAGCGAGGACGAATAGAAAAAATGAAAGTCACAACAGAGCAGCAACTAGACTTTATCAAGGAAAAGTGGAAAGGAGGCACCTAATGTTACTACTCCGGAAGAAAACATTTTAAATGTGACTTTGGGATACGGCTGAAATCTCGTTCTTCTTCTGGTGTTCGATGGAGAATTTGCAACATACGATTTTCGAATCAAACATCGTTGGGTCGTGTTTCATCGTCAGCCTGTTTTCACCACACACTACGCGATTTTTTGGCAGTTGGACCCACATACGGTTTTGGAACGACATGTTGACCCGTCGCGTCGTGCCAAAAATCAAGCTCGGACTGAATTTTAAACCGACGATGAGACACGACGGTTTTCTCTTACACACGTCGGTTAGATGGTCGTGTTTCATCGCGGCGATGAAAACCGACAAGAACGAACGTAGTGTGTGGGGCCCTTTACATCAGAACACAAAAGACACTGTGAAATTAGAATTTATAATATATTAGTAGACGCAGACATTAGACTAAGCATTAGACAATGCAACTTTGTCAAACTGACTATCGCGATTGCGTGAGGACTGAGGAGATGAAGAACTCAACAAAGTGAAATTAAGTTTTCTCCAATCTTATCCAAATTAGATGTTTTAAAACATAGGTCAACCCATGGACAATAATTTCAACATTTTCGCTTCACTTCAGTTTCCGTCAAGTGACGGCAACTTAAGCATCTCAAATAATAACTCATATGGTATATATTGGTATTTTTCGTTAGAAAATTAAATCACAAAATCGGCAATGCTATATTTGTTCAGGCTTTGTTAAAGAAAAGGATAAAAAATCACACAGCGGAACATTCGATGACGCGTTTCAAATCTATCACCTGGGTAAAACCTCGTGGCTCACCCTGTATATCATAGTTTTTTCTAATATATTATACGTAATTACATATTTTTTACATTATTACATAAAAAGCAATAGTATATTTGATTTGGACAAATTAAGAAAAACACGTGGCATCCATGCTGACAGTCTGTTGAATAGAAATTTCGCAAGCCGGAGTGTCATGCATCCGTTTTCCGACATCCGATGTCCGAAAAACCTCCTTTTTGACATATTTTAATACGATTATGTCAGAATAGAAGGTTTTTCGGACATCCGACGTCGGAAAACGGATGCATGAGACTCCGGCCTCAGTCTACACGCAACGATGTACGATTTACATGCGCGAGTAAATCGTACAGGGGGGCTTTATTTTAAATTGATGCAACTAACTTTGCGTACACGCAAATATGAACCGAATGACGTCATTTTCGATTGAAAAAGTACATATAATGAAATAAGCCGTTCACCAATTTTCAATCTCAAATGACGTCATTCCATTTGCGTATACGCAAAGTTGCATCAATTTCAAATAAGGCCCCCCAGATACATTGTTACTAACTCACTGCGTACTTATTATAGTAAAATCTCCAATTTTCCAATAGTAAGCTAGTATGAAATAATCATGGCGGAAGTGTTGATGTTTTGTTTAAATGTTGAAAAAAAAAGAGAAATTGGAAAACGTTTAAATGGAACTAGACGTTCTAGGAGGGCGTCTAGAGAATGGTTATTGAAACGAAGTTTATTTTCTCAAGTCGGCTTATGAAAAATATTATCATCTCTAGCTCCGGAATGAATTGACGTGTAGACTTTTAATAATTCCTTCCTGTAAACCGTTCGGAGAGATTTTTTTTAATGCGTTTTCTTTATTTTCCGCTTGGTCCCCCTTCTTAAATTTTTCAATTAATTGTGTTGTTACATAAATCTCCGAAAAGCGCGTATACCCATCTTAAGAGTTGCATGCGGAAATCTCAACACTTCTTGAGCCCATTTTACAATCGATCGTCGGTTGTCATTGTCATTGGCTGTCTTTCTTCGTCTCTCTATGTTATATTTTTCTTCTCTCTCGTGTAACGAAATTTGCAAAAACGTGACGCGTCTTTCAAATCACTCGCCATTTTCGTCCTAATCCGCCGCCTAAAGCCCATTTCACAATTGACGTAACGTAACCGTAAAGACGTAACATAAGTCCTAAGCATGCGCACATCATTGTTATTTGCGTCAAATATGTTACCGGAAACGCAACGTAAGAGATGACCAGGGGGCGGATTACGAACTCTCGATTCGAACCGAAACCGCCATGGATTTCGAACGCACTCCATGTGAATGCATAGGAATGCGTTCGAAATCTATGGCGGTTTCGGTTCGAATCGAGAGTTCGTAATCCGCCCCCAGCTCTCATCTCTCTCACGTTGCGTTTCCGGTAACGTATTTGACGCAAATAAATCTAATGTGCGCATGCTTAGGAATTATGTTACGTCTTTACGGTTACGTTACGTCAATTGTGAAATGGGCTTTAGGCGGCGGATTTGGACGAAAATGGCGAGTGATTTGAAAGACGCGTCACGTTTTTGCAAATTTCGTTACACGAGAGAGAAGAAAAATATAATATAGAGAGACGAAGAAAGACAGGCAATGACAATGACAACCGACGATCGATTGACACAAACCAAGGATTAAAAGTAAAGAGGATACACTATTATTGTCAAGCGCCGATACCCTTGACGTCACTACAGATGCGCGTCTACCTTTTGTGTGGCCCTTCGTCTTTATCTTCACTCATATGCTGAGGTTGCTAAATCTAAAGGTTGTATGAGGGGGGATAGTTTTTTAAAGGTTCACTTCTTTTTTTTTTAAATTTGGTATTTTTATTTATTAATTTATTCAATAATCTGACTAAAATCTTGCAAAATATTGGTTATACTCGCAAAAAATATCATAATTTGCCATTTTTTCTTGGTTTCAAGAGTAGGAGATCTTCTATAATTAACACAAGAGCCGTTTACAATATCAATTATCACTGAATTCTTGAATTAATAATTTCGACAATAATACTGGATATGTATACCAGGAAACTAAATAAAAAAGTTTCTTCTGATCTCATATCCCATCAACGAATTGTACTATAATTTTCGCAGTGGGATTTTATTTCCTTGGTATATGTACTCATTAATTACATTATTGAATTTAGATCTACTTTATTACGCCCAAAAGTTGATGTTTTTTTTCAAAAGTGCGACATAGTGGCCCAACGAGTACAAATAAAGAATGGTAGATCAATTAAATAATATCGCGTTATACAAGCTATGTTATATTATGAAGTTTTCTTCTTTAAAAAAACACAATTTGGCAACAGTGACCGCGCTTATCGGCCATGTTTGTTATGAACTTACCATTTCCGGAACCAAATATTTTAAAGATGTCAACAAATCCTCCCCTGGACCACTAGGAGCTGGACAAATATAGTAAAACTCCTGATTCCATTTTAAACAAGATCTACATCTAAGATTTGGATGTAACTGAGATTTTACCAGTTTTATGAACATATTAGCACATGAAAACTTCTCTAGTTCTAGTTTTTACTTCTCAAAATACAAATAAACAAAAACAATTCGACGCATTTGACAGATGCCTGTCCATCACGACTCTCAACGCCATCTGTGATGTGTAAAAGTGCACATTTTATATAAAGCTAAACTTTTAAATTCAAATAGTTGATTGTATTATCATGATCTATTTTTGAAAAATTGCAAATTGCATAACTAATTTATCAAAACTAGAAAAATCTGACCATTATTCAAAAAAAATACCAAAAAAATAGTTTGAAGCAGGTGGCGCCATCTAGTTATATAGAGAACAACTAATCGCGACGATTAGCGACACCTACATAAATCAAAAGGACCTATCATAGCGAATACAGAAGGACACTATAGAATGCAGCGAAAAACGAACGACTATTACAAAATTCGTCCATTCCGACGCAGTTTTTGATTACGAAATGATATCATTAGTGAAAGAATATTCGTTCCATCACTCGTTATGGGATGAATACTTGTGGCGTCATCTAAAAGTCACACGTCAAAATACAAGAAAAAACGCTTATTACCAACATTGAAATTGTCGAAAATGTCAAAGTCAAATTTTTATGTGCTAGCTTCAGGATTAGGATTATTCAGGAAGTGATTCTAACCAAACCAATGACATTGGTTCTAACCATTTTTTTTTCACCTGCCCTAGTTTTGTTATGCTTAAAGGTAACCATTAAAAAAGGCCGTTGTTTCTTTGGGCCTAAAAAATCCCCCAAAAATGATAGTTTTTGGTGTAGGACAATTAGGTACCTTACCAAAGCTAAACGACAATCAACTGAAAAAAATTTGAAAATTTAGAAAACAAATGTAAACTATGAGGTGAGGTAAATGTGTAAACTTTAGGGACTTGTGTTACCTTGTGTAAATTTTTTACTTACCAAATCTGGAACGATCCAGTGAAGCAATTGTGCCAGGGGTTTCGTTTGAACTTGAACTGACCCAATTAAATATACTCTCGGCCTTGATTTCAAACAACATCTGCAAATATGATTTGGAATTGACATTTTTGTTCAAATTTAAAAGATTTTTAGTTATATTTAAGAAAATTAATAAATCAGAAAGTCAAATAAACACTAATCAGAATCTAGCGGCCATTTTGACAATTGACATTGACAGACCTTACTACCAGGGTTGCCAAAACCAGTTGCATGTTTGCCAGATTAACATCCTCGTTATTTCAGTGATGCCAAATTTAATTTTTCATGAAGGAGGCACCTGGCAACGTCGCAAAAGGCCGTAATTCTCGTTTTGAGGTTAAATTTAAGTCAGATGGCGCAGATGCTCATAATATGTGAATTAAATCTCGATGTATTTAAGTGTAGTTATAAAACAAAATCATACATAAGAAGTGGTAGTTACTAAGCGTAGAAATAGGGAATCCAAATTCCAAATCACGTAGCTTTGTCAACCAGCCGCCATATTGAAATTTTGGCGTTGTTACACAAGGATGATACAATTGATACACACTAAGGCGGCGTTCCGTATCTTAACCAGAGTTACCGATTGGTATGGAGCGGTTCGTCTATAGTGACAGTCTCGTTCCTGAGAATGCGGTTTATGTGTGGAACCGCGTTTCATAACCTAACCAGATTTCGGGAGTGGTTAGGTTACGGAACGGGAACCGGAAAAACCAAGAATCTTGGTTAACTTACGGAACGTCGCCTAAAGCTTAATTCTCACTTGCACGAAATTCGCTCTTTTTTGACATTGCTTCGACAATTTGACGTTTGATACATGCATAAAACCTCAAATTGTTGAAGCAGTGTCAAAAAAAGAGGGAATTTCGCGGAAAAAGGGCGAATTTCGCGCAGGTGAGAATGAGGCATACTACATGAGGATGGCCTATCCTCATAAGGCCTGTGTGTAACAAATCCCCCCCTACCCCCCCCCCAAGCCAAAAAACCAGTTGTGACGTAAGCAGCATGGCGTTTCTTGCCTTGACGTAGGCTGTTTAAACAAACAGCTGACGACTTAGTTATGACGTCGGACGTCGGCGATGGTTGAAAGCAGTTGAAAACCAATATGACGGCGATTACCAAAAACGAGGCCGATAAGCACTCCTTAAGTGTGTATTCTCCTTGGATGATACGCACTACTACTAAACGAGGCCGATAGACAATCCTTGTAGATGTGTATCATCCTTGGTTGTTACATGCCAACGATGTCAGGTGCAAGGTGAGTTCGCAGTTTACAAAATATGTAGCACAGATGAAAATTTTCACAGTTGTCATCCATTCACCTAACAAGTGCAGAAAATGTTCACCGGCTGAAATTTGTATGATGGATCAGGGCATAAAATTTACTAAGCTTGCAATGGCAACACTGCTTACTCCTCTCCTCTCTCAAGTTTAGGTTGGGTTGGCTGTTGGCTTGGCGTTGGCTTTCGAACAGATTAACAAACATTTTACAACCTCCGTGCGATGCCATGCCTTTGAAAATAGGAGTCGATCAGTCGATCTGTTCGTAGCTAGTCTTGCAGATACAAATGAAAACCTGTTCTGAAACACAATAAGAAGATTTCTGTAAATGTGAGGCATTTTAACATCAAACTTGGGATGTTTTTTTGTCTTTTTTTTTATCTATCTATTCCAATGAACTATAACCAAAAACTGGAATGCTAACACATAAGGACGAATGTGAAGCCTAGTGCGGCTGCTGCGGAGGGGATACCTGTTTTTGTCGCACTCATTATGTTAAATGGCGAAAATTGCTTCCAACACGTATTCCAATTGATGAAACCTGTGAAGGGAAATATGACAAAACTTTCGAAAACGTCATATGACAGCGAGCAACAGAAAAAAACAACATTCCCCTTTGTGGCATCTGTCTTTCATGGCTACATTTTTTTGGCAGATATGGCAATGTGTGCGCATTCCAGTTTTTAGCTATAGTTCATTGATCTATTCTAATCCCCATTTGTGTGCAGTTTGGTGATAATACCTCATACTTAATCAAAACTTCTCAAGATAGCGGCTGATTTACCGGCGAAGGTTCGACTTTCAAACTTGTTCGCAAGTATGCTTGGTATCCGGCCTAAACTTAAATCATCGCGTGAATGTGCGCCATGACCACCTAATCGCCAAGCGGTACCATGAGCAAAAGAATATTAAGTGACGATTAACCCTCTGTTTGAACACGTAAGGTCATTCAGGAAATGAAGTAGGAGAGGGAGTTCCGTAGGTGGGTACTACGTCACTAAAAAGAAGCCCTAAATATTTCTAGATGTTCTCGGGGTGGCCAACGTTACCACATACGGGTGGGAATTGGGATGCCTGATGCCTGTGAGGTTCTTGTCGTTCTTCAATAACTTCTCCTAACCGGAATGAGGCTGGCCAGATCGTCAGAACATCTTCCATAGTAATAGCGATAGAATATAGAAGAACGACAAGTCGGCTACTTTGAGAGCCAACCAATGCTTGGGAGCATCGCTGCATATGTGGGAACAGTATTCCATACATGGTCTTATTTGAAAAGTTGTTTAGAAGTAAAGTTTTTTGGACGAAACAGGAAACCTAATTTTTAAGAAGCGGTTTTGGCGATCGACGATACATGGTTATGCCAAAACAAGTTGGTCAATGCGCCGCGGTCACCCCAAAAAGAGATACTGAGGGATTGATAGAAAGGTTTTGTCCCGACATCCCTAATCCCTAAAACTGGGTTATCATCGGCGGAAGATTTCTTATTTGAGAATACCATTGCTTGAGTTTTGGAAGACTTGAATTTGACTATAGGTTGTTTAGGTCCCAGTTGGGTAATGGTGTCAAGCTCACTGTTGGTTGATAATTTAGAGTGAATCTTTTCTCGGTTCTCGAGGCATGTGAAGTGTCAACAGAAAGCAGTTTGTCAGAAGAAAAAGATTCCATCAAGGTACTACCTACTATCCGCAAAGCTGTGTATGAGGTTTCTTGTCACATTTAACAAATCATTTATAAAGATGAGAAACAGTGTTGGGGTGCTTTTTCCTCTGACGATACTACAATGAAATTATTGTCCTTAACTAAAGGTGGAAAGAAAGAAAATGTGATTTTTTTTTCCTATGATCTTAGCAAAGGACCAAAGGACCTTGGATCGGCCAGTCCAGTAATCACTCACTTGTTGGTTGTATAACTCCTTAACCTTGTCGGCTATAGGGTTGCAATCATTTCTGGTTGCCGTAAAAGACAATCGAGTCTGTTCCCATTGGTTTCTACGCCATGCACGATATGCGGTGTTCTTTGTTGCAACCGCTCGGATACACTGCTTGTTAAACCAGGGTTTTCCGGCACGGCGGGACGTTTAATTGGAGTGTGCAATGTACAATTCCATACCTAAAGAAATTATTTCGGTAATCTCTTGTGCAGCCTCTTTAATTTAAAGTGAAAATCTGACCACGGAAAAGTCGAGAAAGAGGGTGTTAGGCCTTCCCCGCAGTCTGCAGCTCCATAATGCCACACCCTATACGAGGTATCGGAGAAGAGGCTGAGGGTTTAACAAACGAATTTCGAGCAAAAATCAATTTGTGGTCTGATTTGCCCGCAAAGGTGCAAACACATTGATCTATGTAGTGAAGATCGGGATAAGTCGTAAGGAACAAATCGAGTAAATTGACTTGCTGAGAAACAGAATCAGGAATACCTACGTGTGGTCTCATCTGAGTTATGCCGTGTGAAATGGCAAATGCTTCAGCAATCCTTCCAGCATGGGTTGTTTCGTTCGAGAACTTAAGCCACTCTGATAAATATTAACATTAAAATCCCCCAAGAACATAATTTACGAGTTCGGATGAATCTCCATAAATCAAATGAATTTGCCAGATTTTCAAATAAAATTTCATAACTGGAGCCGTTATAGGTGAAAGATACACGCAGTAACCAACTTAACCATGTTCGTAAAAGTAATTTTTATCCAAATTACATCGTGATCAGGTGATTCGAGATCAGCCTGTCTTAAGAGATGGATTGGGCTTAACAGAAGATTTTACTTGCGTCTCCGTTAAGACTAGAGTTTAAGTTGGCGTTAATAACTCTGATGTTAGACAATTAAATTATTTGATGTAGACTCCCCTCGTACAACCTTCTTCCGGATGGGTGGGTATTTTAACTCCAGAATTCTTTGCACCGAGGATGTTCATCATCATTTTTAATCCAAGTCAGTGAGGATAAAAAATGAAAAAGAAAGATGAAAAGAAAGCACTGTTAAGACTAGGTGAAATAAAGAGCTTATTCGGGTTTGAAAAAAGGATGGTTCAAAACAATCTCACAGGTTATCAATCAACAAAATGACAACGGCTCGGCTATCAAAAATTTCAGTAATAAACTGTGCGACTGCTTTGAAGCGTCCTTTCTTCAAACCTCAATAGGCCTAGTGTACTTCAGCTCGGGTAACTCGAGGTAGCCATGCACGTATTCACTAGATGTGAACCCCGGAGTGTGTCTAGGTTTCCTTAGGAGTGAAGTGACGTAATTTCTAATACGTCGGTAGCCTGATTGAGAATTCTTACTGTTAGCTCAACTTTCAATCTCTTCGTCTGAATCATTTTCAATTAATGTTTTTATTTGAAAGTCTTCCGCGACATTCCAAATAACAGCTTTGTACAATACTGGTCGAGCACGTCCACCGAGTAGCCATGTTGGTCCTTTCGTCCGAGAAATTTCTTACTTTCTTGTACCAGTTAGTCTCTATCTCTGTAAGATATTTCCTGTTGAGGTATCCAGTGATAACGCTAGGAACTGTTCCTTGAAACGTGAATTCGCATTTCTTCCTCTTACGCAAAATAAATAAAAAATAAATTTATTATTAGCTTTAAGGTAACAGAAAAAATAGTGCGTACAAAAATGTTAACAAACAATTTAAAATTTAACAATTACACAGGGTACTTATTGTGTCTGCTATAAACAAACGACATCTTTTTTTTTTAAATTCGTTTAAATTAGGAGAATGTTTAACATCATTATAGGTAGGTAACTCATTGTTTTTGTTTTTAATCCATTATTAAAAACATTTCTCTGATCAAAATTTATTTCTCCGAACAGTCGGAATAACTATAAAGATTGTGTCCATTTCTAGTGTTTCCATCATGTACGTACATACCTACACTGCGAACGGGTATACGAAAGTTTTGTAGATTCTCTGATTGAGGAAGTGTTTGTAAGTAAATTTGTTTGTTTTACACTTAGAATCCCCCATTGCTA